TCTACCAGTGTATTATTCTGAGCGCAACTCACGCAACTCATTGGCCAAGCTTCCGGAATTAGGCAAAGGTTTGGCATGAACAAGCCGTTGAAGCTGTGAGCAAGAGGATAAATCTTCCGGGCCGTTCCTGGGAGAACGGTGCCGTCGCTATAGCTGTATAGCTTCTACCGGAATTTTGGGTACAGGGAAACGATCGATATAAAACAATAAGAAATAAGCGTTGATGCGAGTTGCAGATGGAGTCGGTTCATCAAACTTCTCAACTGTTCAGCCAAACCTTCCTTATCACAGCTGCCATTGTTCTCGTCGTCAGAGGACAGGCACTGCACATCCTTCAAAGACTTGAGAGAAGTTTAGACCAGCCTATTAATATTGTTTATAGTTAACCTTCTTGTGAACAAATGGACTGCAGTGCGAGAAGACACGGACAATCCCCAAACACGTTTGGCTCAGTCCTTTTCACCAGCCACTTTCCTGTCCGAGGGCTCCTGGGCGTGCCAATATAGTTGTTCCACGGGTCAGTGGCTCACTCACCCCCCCCAAAAAGATCGAGTACAAGATCCCAATTCAATTTAGAATGCATATTTGGGAGTCTGTCGAACTTTGCTTCAAGTGTTCTTTGTAGTTTGAAGACGGTTTGAAGCAGTCCTCAGCGTCAAGATCAATGGCATTTTGAGGGCAGCGAGACGATGAACTTGACACCTGTGCCTGTGGACCTGCGACTTGAGGCTCCACTACAGTAGGCTTCTCCACTGTTTGTTGCTTTGCTGCTGCATCCTGCTCTTGCTGCCTTGCTTGGCTCTCTGAAGGTGATAGCTGTTGCATTGTTTGCTGCTGTTGTGAGATTGCTGGCTGCCTTGTAGCCGGGTCATGTTGTTGTTCAGTTGACGGCGGCTCGAACTGCTGCTGCACAGTTGCGGGTTGCTCTGATGCTGAAAGCCAAGCCTGTTGTGTTGGAGGCTGTTGTGCTGCGGTGGGTTGCTGTGATACTGTAGGCTGGTCTTGTATTTGTGGTTGCTCTGATGCAGCCTGCTCCCACAGCTGCTGCACAGTAGGAGGCTGCTCTGTTGCCGGTTGCTCGGATGCTGAAGCCTGAGGTGCGGGCTGCTGTGCTGCTGCTGGCTGCTCTGATGAAGGCTCCTCACACTGTGGCTGCACAGTAGGAGACTGGTGTGCTGGTGCCAGTTGCTCTGATGCTGAAGACTGTGCCTGTTGTGGCACAATTGGTGTTGGTGCCTGTTGCTGTGATGCTGAAGGATGCTGCCCCTGTCCTGGCTGCAATGCACTTGCGGCATACACGCTAGTCTGCGTTGGCTGCATGGGCAGTGCCTGGGAAGGTGCCTCCTGCCCAAGCTGTGCTATGGCTGCAGGGGCTTGTGGTTCCACGCTTGCACTTGACTGGTTTGGTAGTGGTGGAGGGATGTGGTCTGCAAAATCATGCTGCGCTTCCTGTGCTGGCTTCAGATGCAGTGCTTGCTCGTGCTGAGGAGTGGCTGCAGGTGTGATGGCTGTCATGCCTTGGCTAGCTTCCACAGCTGCTGCCTGTGGTTCCTGTGCAGCATAGTCCAAAGTTAGTGCTGAATCAGCGGATTGAAGTCCTGGACGGCCGCCCTCCTGAAAAGGATGAGCATGGGTGAACGGTCACCGTTAGACTTCCGAACGTCTTGAGAAAACGATGCTGGTGGTTGGGCCCTTGATCTTTCAACCTGTTGACCTTTCACACAGTGGATTAATGATCCCCGGCTATGTCAGTCCTGGGGGTGTTGTTTCGGAGCCATTGCCAAAGATCCATCATCCTGACAAGTGAGGGGATCAAGGCCCCCCCACCATAATTCATTGGGATGCATCCACGTCATGTGTTCATGGTTCGAACATGATGCAAATCAGCTGGTCTATGATCCATTATCTCACGTCTAACTTTGGCCGATGAATGTAATTTGCACCAACCATGCAGTCATGGAAAAGAGTTTCTAAAGTATACTGGAACCAACGCAGTCCTGCTCAATCAGGACTCCCATCTCCACCAGAAGGCTTTGCACGGACTTGTCCTGGCACAGGCGTGGGCTGGAAAAGGAGCACTCGGGAAATCGTTTAACTTAAACTTGTGGAACCCCTCAATCATTTATAACAGCAGCCTCATGCAAGCGAGCCCCAACAACCCCTAAGTCCTTGGGACAGCGCTTCAAGCAGGTAGGGTGGTCTTTGTCTGCCCTAACTGTTCCCTTCAGGACAGATATCAGGTGTCGAATGGTCCAAGCTTGTTGACCAATAGTGTGCTCCGAGACTGGTCGATTGTGAAGAGAAAAAACTTGCTTCACCTCGTCTTCTAAATTCTCTATGTTGAGAACAGAGACTTCTCCGTAAGCAGGTTGGGCAGTGGAAAGAAGGCGGCATACATGCAGCAAAACGCAAGCGTTGTGCTTCACATTGAAAATGGAACGCTCAACGAAGGTGTTGGTAGGCCTCTTGAGTTTGGCATCATAGTGGGTCAGGAGGTTCCACCCTTCCCTCAAACGATGCCGGACCTCTGGATCGTTGTCCCACTTCAGTGCCAGTCCCAAAGCCACTGATTTTTTTTTTCCCTTTGTCCTCTGGAGCTTCAAAGGGCGCCAGCGAGGGATTCGCTTCAGCCATCCGCTCTCAGACCCCTAGACTTCCACTCAAAAGGTCAACTTGCAGCCCAAACTCGCTGCGCAGGCTGAAGACTGGCAAAGACTGAGCTGAGTTGAGCCCGCCAAAGAACATGCGGAATTTATAGAGTATATCTCTGCAGTAAACCAGCAAATCCGAAGAATATGAAAGAATGTGTGTTTTCTTAATTTTTCTTACCGGCCCATACGGGTCCCAAGTCAAAGCAACACTGTATAGATGGCACCTTGATTCCACTCCGTCAGCATCAGCTGCTCCAAAAGGAACCATGGCAATGGTGCAGGCTGTATCGGCCGGCTTACACTTCCTTTGAACACCAATTTGGAACATGACATTCCTATAGATTTGAGGAAGCCACCAGGTACCAAATATCAGTGCCTGTTGAACATCATGCACATGCAATCATATGGATTGGAATCTTGGATACTTGGATAGTCCTGCATGGAGACGCAGGTCTGCATGGGACCTGCGTGTGCTATCACGAACTGAAACCTGTGCAGCGAGACGAGAAAAGGAGGCACCACTTGGGAAGAGGTTCATGGAAGGCTCAAAAATGAAGCATGTTATGTTCTTTGTTTCATAGCCTATATACAAACTTCTTTGAATTACGCATTTGACCAGGCGAACGGGTTCGAACGCATATTCCTCGTCCGTCCCAAGAATTGTTCGTCCAAGTCCAAATTCCAAGGATTCTTGCATTGCCCCAACTATTGTTGGGATTGACGTTTAGCAGGTATATATATGTAGGATGTTTAAACAACGATATCAATATCTGCATCCTTACACCACCGTATGTTCAGGGCTGGACAGCCCCCAAAGGTGCCAATGGACTTCGGTTTGTAGCTGCTGTTTAGATTAGCAACGTGTTTCTCAGCACTTTGGCAGCCCAGTGGTGCGGTGAAGAGTTTAACCACTGCGTGTATTGTCTTAAGGCTGGATAGCTTTAGGATTGGAAGGAATGATGTTTGAGGGAATGGACAGCCCCAGTAGTGAAACTTTGAGAGGTTAAGCCACTGGGCTTTTCTGAAATTGGGCCTAAAAATTTGGCCACTTCAAGGTCTCCAACACATGTCACACTGTGAAAAACACCAAGCACGCAACAATTGAGGTAGGTACAAAACATGTGTGTGTATTTCAAGAGGGAGACCTCCAAGCAATGGGTATTTCCTGGTCTATTTCCCTGCTTCCAGGGGGTCGAGCTGCAAGGTCTCCCTATTTTAATACACCCAGTCAAGATCTGAAGGACTCCATGGACTAGTCAACGACTCAATGGACTTAGTCTGAAACAATCTCCTCTGAAACCACCCACACTGATTGAAAAGAAGGGAAACGGCACACCAACGGTTTTGGCATTCGGATTTCATGGTCATCCGAAATCGAGGCCGCGCCATCCATCCACGTTGGCCCATGATGGGCCATCAAGCAGTGTAGTCTTCGACCAACTTCGAGGCCGCGCCTGTTGCCGATCCGGGAGCAAGAGGTGCTGCACAGAGAACTCGTGCGCGAACCTCAGCCAGCTTCGATTTGAAGGTGTGGCCACTGGAAGTGTCGGGAAAATCTCAGAGTTCCCGGAACATAAAGATTAAGTGTTCTTCATGTCCCATGTTAGTAGGGTGTCAATGGATGTCACCAATCATCCCAAAAGGTTTTGTAGGTTCTCCTCTCGCTGGATTGGTTGGGATCTACTTTACTGGTAGGTGGTTTTCCAAATGAACTTTGTATGCGTGGAACATGGGAAAGGTGACCTTTGTTGTATACTGTGTTTCAACATCAATCCATTGTGTCTTAATAGCCGCAGCCACATTTGACAAACAAAATATATAACTTCCGTGTGCCTCGCCAGATTCATCTTCCTGTGCTAAGATTCCGAAGACTCAAGTTCCAGCACTTGCAATCATACCAGCAGTCCAGTCCATTTCGATGGCCTTTTATGCCCTTGGTTGGTTGAACAATAGAGGGGATTGTATCCCAGGCGAATCAAGGTACACAGATTACCGAATCGACTCCTCGTTCTTCTTCTCAAGGTCGGACATCTTTGGATTAGATAATTATTGCATAGAATATATCATATCCTAATATTACATTTATATAATTTGAATATATGCATTTTCAGAAGGCTTTCTTGGACTTTGCCATGCCAGTCTGATGAGTCAAGCGGGCTTTTGGAGCGCACCGCCACGGGCAGCCCGTCTAAGGGAGAACAAGGGGCAGTCGCTTGAAGGAGAATGGTCTGTTTCATATTCCCGGTGACAAGACAGTCTTGCTATACAAAAAAGGGGCTGTCGCTTTGTGAAAGTGCATATATTCTATAAATGTGTCCCACATCCTAAAGATCTTTTTGTTTGACGATCCCTCAATCTTGCGTGTGTGTGGCGACTTCCCAGTCTCACTTGCTCATCACTTGTCTCTGTCTGCTGTGGATTGATTCTTTCCACCGGACCTGGGCTGGGGCCAACTTTGAGCCCTCACTGGTCCTTCTTCTGCAACATCATTTTGCGCGAAGATCGTTGCTCGTCACCCGTCCTCGGCTATCATCCAAGAGATGCTGAAGTGAAGAAAATGACCCAAACATACCCAGACCATCCATGGGACTGGCCTTAGATAACATTAGGGTGAGCCAGAAAGGGATCAATGTAGGCATAGATTCCAGCCCATGAATCCCTTGGTGAGAAGTGAAGCGCTGGAATTCAAGTCCCGAACTATTCTGCAACACATAATGGCCTATACCAGCACTATTTAAGGGATTATACTAGTTGCATTACCCCTGGATGAACCTGGTACTTCCTTTCGGAGATCAAACAGCTCCTGAACACGAACACGGCCACCTCTGGACCACTAGGTCCTCATGTTCAAGTAAGACGTGGCTCGGAAGCATCATGGCCTAAGCACATGATGGTCACCCATACCCACTTGCAAAAAAGAGACACAAAGAGGGAGCGAGCGAGGAGGGAGGGAGGGGGGGGGAGGGAGGGGAGGGGAGGGAGGGGAGGGAGGGAGGAGAGAACCATCCCAAATCTGCTCCAAATATCTCCATGTCAGAGGTCTTTGGTCTCAGTGTTGCAGGATTGTTTGGTCTCATGTCACCTCAGATCCTGGGAGCCATACCGCCAGTCCGGACCGGGCATCGTCCTGTCCCGAAGGACCGGACCCGTTTCGGAGCGTCTGTTCCAAACGGGTCGTGAGGACCGATCTGCTTGAGCATCGCAGCAGTCTTCGCGCCGCTAAGCCAAGCGGTCAGGTTCGGAGGGGGGAGATCTTAGACGTTTTGATTGCACAAGTACCTTTGCCCTCAAAGTACCTCGGAAAATGGGTACACCTAGATACCTGTTTTTTATGAGGGCATGTCCCATTTTCTAAGGTACTTTGGAGAGTCAAGGTACATAAAACTAAAATTACCACCTGAGTCCTTCAAAGGGATGTGTGACTATTCCATTCGAGACCCCTTGGAAGGCGATGGTATACGGTATACCGGTATACCTTTGGTCAGCGATTGTATACAACGTTTAAATTTGCCACACAAATGGCATACTGTACATAAAGTGTATCCTGCCTCAAATCCAAGCTTCCTGGGGCAGCAATGGTAGGTCAACACCATCACCTGTTCCGCACAGCATTCCGACAACTGTCATGGGTCAAGGCCCTTAAGGCTGTCATGAGGACATATGGAACAGCGATGCATGTATACATCTACAAGGGGAGGCTTTGTAGGGTAAGACTCTTCAAGCATCTTCTAAAAGATCAACGGCTAGCACAGGTGAGGTTCATTCATATTCATGCCAATTCATTCCGCCAGCTTCAGCTTCACGTCATATCTTGATTATAATGATTTTCTCCATCTGGCTATGGGTCACCAGGATCCCTTGGTTGACCTACCGACGTGACGGATGTGACGCGGACCGGTGGACTGGTCGTGCTCCAGGTGGGTCACGATCCCCCCGACTCGCGCCGCAACGAGCAGCAGCGGCCACATGAGGATCAGCGCCAAGAGTTCCTGGGCTGAGCCGACACTCCGCGGCCGAGGCCGAGGCGAGACGAAGGTCAGGTGAGAGAACTTCAGGGACTCGAAGAAGAGGAAACACAGCTCGAACCTGTAAGAAATCGACATGGAAACACAGCGAAATCGTGCAGCAGCGAAAACAGCCAACACATCCAAACCTGGGAGCTGCCCCTCGGAATGCGGTTGTCATGTTTTTGCGCTCGCCTCGCATCCGGCGATTGGGCGATTGGAGTGGGCGCGCAAACATGAAGGCTGGCCCGAGAGGTCGACGATGGACTGTCTAAAGTCATGATCCTGGTCATGTTTCATGGGCAAGATGTGGTGCTTTGACATGCTTTCACAGGACACTCTGCCAATCGACAGATTTAGTTGCTGCTCGAAAAAGCAAGGGCATGGCTCACGAGGGCCCCTCAGCTTTTTGCTGAACCATTCAAAGGGCCGACCTCTGATCTTGGTTGTTTTCTCATCGGATCCGGGGAACCGACATGACTCCTGACTCCCTCAATCTGTTTCTGGAAAATACCGGTTGAATTATAGTTAACCATGGTAAACCTTCGCGCACATCTACAAGTTGAGTGGGGACACTATCCATTTCATCAAGAGAGTTTGGCAGGTGTTCTGGGATGTTCTGGGATGTTCTGGGTAAGTAGGGATGGTAGGATGAGGTAGGTGAAACATCGGTCGGACACTCACCTCTCATCGTTGGACAATGACACTCACCCGACTCACCTGTTGGGAGATCTGCTGAGTGTCTCTTCTCCTCCTCTGCTGGCTCAGAGTCTCGAAGCTCGGGCCGCTCAGAGTCTCCTCCGCAAACAAACGATGGGGGGGGTTCAAAGCACCAAACAGAGTGAGGCGTTCGGATCGCGTTCCTGGAAGGGGTGGTTGAAGTTTAACACATGTGTGCAAATATACACAGATTAACTTATGTATATCAGTTGAGCGGAGCGGTCTTCAAAATTGTATTGTCTTTTCTTGCCGAGACATCAAACCTTACGGTAGGATTTGCGCAAAGCTTACGTTTTTCTATGTTTTGCTTACGGTGACACATGTATGCATGGCTATTCTTACGTTGTCCTTAAGGCAAACCTTGCGGACACCTTACAAACATCAGCTAAAATCACTATGTTCAATTATGTTCACTGATTTTTCGCCGGTCCCTGACTAAAAAAAGGAAGGGTGAATTTAGAACGCTGCTCAGTTGATCTATAACTTTGTTAACCTTAAGAAACAAAATATCTCGACTGAACTCTCAACTGATATTACTTAATCATTGATGAAGCAATGGGGCACTTTGGAGCTTTTAAACATGACATCTTGACCACTGGCCTCCTTGGGCACTCATGACCCCGATAAGTCCCGGCCATGGGGTTGGGGTGTGAAAGCAATCCCAATATATATATATATATATATATATTTATATATAAGTTTTAGGCCCCCCTCAAGGGCGCAGAACCCCATTTCCGCAGTTTTTTGGGATATGTTCAGCTATGTTGACATTGTGGGCGGCTGAAACCTGCAAAAGCGATAGGCCTCCCTCAAAAGCGATAGTCTTGCTGAATCATGTCCTTTGCTTTTGGCAAACGCTCATGTATAGTTCTGGGCGCATGAAAGGTTGCGTCTCGGCACTTTTCCCGGGTCAGGTGAGGTTTCTCTGGGTTTCAAACGGCCTCCATTCCCCCCCAAGACCACCTCTGGGCGGTCAGGGCTGGTCGTCTTGCGGTCTTCCAGGGCGTCACGGGCTGCCCGCCCGACGCGGGCGACGCGGGTTCTTCCGCGGGCGCCGGCGCCCAGGAAGAGCCGCTCCAGCGCCAAACGAAGGTGCTCCTGGGAGGCACGTTTTGGGCCAGCAGGATCAGCAGGTTATGACCCAAACGCTCCATGGATGTAAATGCTATGCCTTACATGGACCCCTATTGGAGGGTGCTGGTGACCAATGGAACAACCAATTTGACAGGTCGCGTTGTGTGTGTGTGCGCGTGTGGGGCGAAAACCTTCGAGAATTGGTCCATCGACGGTGCTGCTTCATGGATTTGTAGTGGCCCATCCGTGGGGGACCATCAAAGCACCAAAGCCTGTGCCAGCCTGGGGAAATGGACCGGCATGCCGGACTTCTGAGGCTACGGGTATCTAAGTGAACTGAACTGGTCAATGGTCCAGCACAGAAAGGAGTTCAGTGTCACTCCCAGCATGCTTTTGCTCATCACTATAGCTAGGGATCTTTTTAGAGCAAAAGGCGCGAGACCCAACATCATCACAGCGCTCTGTAACTGAGTAAAGTTGACACAACTTCAAAGCTCCACTCTGCCATTCTTTCTCGAGTTTCGTCCAACGGTCGAACAGTCCTCCTGACACGTGGGCGACTGGAGCTTCTGGTCGCGCCAGGGCAACGACCTGCCTCGAAAATGCATGGGAAGTCGATCCAGAAAGCGAACAGACGCGGAGGTCCCTTCAAAAACGGAGTGTGGAACAACTTGGAAAAACGGGGCATGACCCCATAAAGACAGGTACTTGTAGTACTTGTACTGATTTTCCGAGGTAATTACTTTGAGACTCCAGGTAGTCGTGACTCCAGCTGTTCAAAAGGTTGGAGCCTCTCTCCCACATGCAAAGGTATGATTGTCTTGGATCTCCCGAAGAAACCAAAACGCCCCTGACCCAGCGCATTCGAAATGACTTGGAGACCTAGGGCAACGAGGTTAGGGACCCAACTTCCAGTCCCCCAGGAGCTACTCCCTAACCTCTGAAGAGTGGACGCCGGGAGCTACGCGCCTCGGCGCTTCTGAAGCGCTTTCGCTGCGCAAAGAGATTCAAAGGCAGGAAAACTGTGAACAGGTGTTCCGTAGCTAGAGACCTTATAGGGGGTTGTGCTTCGAGGTCAAGGGGTAGTGAATGGACCCCCCCTTACCACCAATTGAAATCCCTTAGGTGTTTCGCAAGGTGTCCTAAGGTGTTTGGAAGGGGCTTTGAACAAACTGCTGTAAATTGGGGGCCTGGCTCCAGAAGAAAACAATAAAAGGCAACCTTCGAAGCACCTAAAGACTTGGATCGAAGCCCTGAAAACCTCAAAACACATACCTACACATATTCCATCCCGCTGGAAGAGCTACCTACACTTTTGTTGTTTCTTTTCTTGTGCATGCATAATAATGTATCATGTCAAAACCCGATGCAGGAGATGCCCGGAAAAGAAAGGAATTTACCCTAATGACAATTTCATAGCGTTTGGGGCTGATTTCCTTTGGTTTGG